TTCAAATGAAAGATAATCATAAACCCGCCATAAAGTCTGATGTGGATTGAATGGGATCAAGCATATCTTCCGATAAACGTTGGTTTTGTTTGGAGCATTAGTATTTGGGACCCATGATACAGCAGAGTCAAGGATGGATTTAGCATTAAATCTGTGGACAGTAAATACTCTTTATTCGTTTTTAAAGCTTTCCTCTTACTTGAAATGTTAATTTTTGTAGATAAATTTTAAAGTGTGATCACTCAGTTGGTAGCTACAGAGAAATACTTTCCTACGACGCTATATCATGCTATAGTATACAGATGGTGAACTTCGGTAAAATAACCCATGAAGCCAAGATACTACCATTCAAACATCCAAAAAGCTACAGAACAGATGCTTTGAATCCCTTATCCGGTTTATCGTGTACTACCCAACATGATTCTGACTCTGGAGATGGCAAAACCTCAAATGTGACCATTTACATGAAAGCTACTAAAACTGAAAATTAATTGGCAGTCGTGTTTCTAGCTTTTGGAACATGGCACCTTAGATATTTTCTGTGTTTTTTGGCGGTTTTAAGAGTGGAAAGGTCAAGGACAATTTACTTATTTTTATGCCAAAGATCAAGAAAACTCAAACCGATACTAACAATCTGCCAAATAAACATTCAATGGAGAAGGGTTTATCAGTATGTGTCACAGATCTTGTTGCTCTTGCCCACTCGATGCAATTTATCAAAATACATGTCAGTGCTGCTTGAACTAAAAATATTGCCACGTTTAGGTCAGATAAACAGGCAAAAAATGATTCCATTAACTGACCCCTTCATGTTAAAATTAAAGGCGTTCAACACAAGCTGCAGGAACTAATGAATAGAATACCCAAACATCGGCGCTTGGGATGACCATGATCGTCTTTTTCCTTAAAACATCACTTGCTAACCCCAAGTTCTGGCGAGAAGATTTTTAGATTTATTTTTAACCTGCGGGCGAAATGCAGAGATGTTACGATTCAATTGAAAGCTCTTTAGCAGAATTTTTGCATAGTACTACATTCAACAGACACCTCGCTAAAACGAAAACCCTAGAGTTGGTCCCTGGCTTCCTTTACTCCTGTTAATTGACTCTCTAAAAAACGGACACAGCCGCTAGTCCCAAAGTTGTCCGTTTTAGAGCTAGAGGGAGTCGACTGTATTTAAATCGAACGATTTTACAAAAAGAAATTTTTAATTTTTGTGAATTTTTTTGCTTTGGCCATGAGTCTAAAGGAACTAATCAAACAAGTGGTACTTCCTGATTAAACAAATTCAGTACTAAAGGAGATCTATGGAGAACAGAGTGTTGATTTAAAGTATCCGTTTGGAAGGCGTTGATCTGTTGCCTTAATATTTAATCGACCTTCATGTAATCGAGCTTTCCGAATAACGTCCTCCCTTTTCGAAGGGCTAAAGCCATTTACGGCTTTTTTGATGTCGAGTTTTTACTTCCATCCCCATAATCAACTAATTTATGAAGGTGGCGGTGTGACAGAGTTGCAAATTTCGAGTCCCTTGGCATAATCATATGGTGTGACCATTCAAAGGAAAACTCTTCGGCAGTGCTGTTGAATGGTAACTTTGTTTTTTAAGTACTTTGCAAAATGGCAGTTGGTATTTTGGGGATGAATTGAGATCTTGGGTTGTTCGGAGATGGAGGGACACACCTGATAATGAGGCTTTTGTAACCGTTCCAGTTACATTTTCTTGCTGTGAATTTGTCTTTTACAGAACCTGTAGACCATCAGAAATCAAGAAAGTATCACTTTGCTTAGTAAACTACCAAAAAAGCGAATTTTACCCTGATAATAAAAGGCGGATTGAGGCGTTTTCTTTGAATGGCCGCATCATAGGATTTTATCGGGACTCAAAAGTCAGCCATTAATTTAACCTGGGTGTGACCCAGGGGTCTTAGAATAGAAAAACCGGAGCAAAGTTAAATTCGTTTTCTACAAACACTTGTCAACAGAATAGGTGCCTTTATATAACCTATAAACTGGTTTTACGACAGAGCACTTAATTATGGCTTTCCTTTCGTTACTGATGTGGCCAATATCGGTGCCGTCTGTATGTCCTTCTACTTTTCAATGTATGGATTAGCGAGGTTTCAAAGTGTGACCGGTCGAATAAAGGGTATGGCTTTAAGCAAAACCTTTCTACAGCAGCCCTCCTTTCAATTATTCTGAGGGAAGGTTCTTTTAAAAATTGGAGTGGAAATTTGTTATGATTTTGCAGTTTTTCCAGCTCTCGGGCAGCTGTCTAGCTATTCAGCTGAGTCATGAAAGACCATCAAAACAATCGGCTATCAAACTGAACGTAAAAAAAAACTGCAAACATAAATATCCAACAAAAAATAATCAACTTTATTTTCTGTTTGGATTTGTTGAACGACACAACTTCTTACAAGGTCGTATTTTCCAGCTTTCGGATATTCGTGCCAGCACGGCCATGCGTGACATTCGGTTAATTGACCGTGTAAAGACGACAACTATCGAGCTGAGCGGCATACCAGACTAAAATATATATGGACAGTTTTAGTTCCTTTCATAGTTGCCTCACGATGGTCACTATTAAAGTCGCATGGGCTAAAAGATAGATGGAAAAATCGCTGAAAACTGGGAAATCAAGGGGAAAAAATCGAGGTAGGACAGGAACGATTCACTGTTTATTTAAATCAGAGTTTACGTCAGAATAACAAGGCATCACCAAGTACAAAATATTTCATCTATCTTTTTTTAACATTTTCTCCGTCATGTTCACCCTGCCTGAATTTTACCAAAATGTAACAAATACAAAAAATCCTTGAATTTTGCTCGAGTTGGAGAACGCAAAATGAATAGGAATATCACAAAAAGAGCATAAATCGCACGTAACTAGCCAAACCTTCACTTGATCTCTTATTGTCATTTTCTGATATCTGTAGATACGACGAAAAGCTGTTAGAAGCTGTAAAATTCGAATCTTCTTTAAGTATTTTAAAAAGGACTTGACAACTTTACTGTACAGTATTTTAGGCGACTTTATATACACAGTGGAATTCACTTCCTGACATTGCCAGATTCAAAGCGACCTCTCTGAAGATTAACTATTAGGTAAACCACAATTTAAGGATTCTTTGTTGAGCTACTAGTTTAGGAAAGGTCCTTTAAGTCAATATGATCCACTACCGGAAATTTTGAAGAGAGTTCAAGTTGTTTTGGGAAGCACTAGGTCAACGTGGTTGTTTCCTCGTTGTGAGGAACTCACGGAATTTATTTTGACTGCCAAAACGCTCTGTTGGTAAGAAAAGATGACTTATTCACGAGTGAAATAAACGATTTATGGTTATGTAAAACCTGCGTGCTATAGAAAGTTTCGATGAATGAATCTCCATCGATTTGTTTGACAAAAGATTTTTTCGATCCCAAGTTTGATCCGTGAGGACTTGACAACGACTTTTCAAATTGGGAATTACGTTTTGACAAGTACTAGCTAATATCGTAAAGTACCTGTTATGAATGTCTCTTGAATTGAGAAGTCGATAAGACCAAGATTTTTGCACTTAGAAATTGTCACGCTGAACACCGGTTAGTTCAGCGACGCGGGGTGGCCAGCAGTAGATTTATCCAAAAGGATCAGTTATCGACGAATTCTCAAAATATTGTAAATTCAACATAACCTATCAGTCGGACCCCCAATCACTAGACCTCCATTGTTGGTGGCGACGCTCTGTCTCCGCATTACAAAACAGCCTCGCTCCCCACAATGCTTAATCGCTCGCTTATAAGCTCTCGGCGACAGCTTGTCGGCTGGCTTCCGGTGACCAAAATCGCGGATTTTGGTTGTACTTGGGGGAAAATGTTATAGTCTTTTCGCGATTTTTCGTATCCTGAAACAAGGGAGTCCATTTCAGCCGGTTTTTTTGTAGCGCCGAGATGCCATGTAACCTTTCGCGCCGGTAAACAAAAATGGACTTAAAACATCGGGTTATTAAAATTTGAAATTCATATGCAGCGCTGCATTGTGAATCCGGCGCCGCGGAGCCGTCCATAAAAAATACCCCAGTAGCTACTCTCCCGGGGCGACTAAATGGAATGAATGTCAACTAGCCTGTCACACAATAGACCCTTACCGACTATGGTTCCGTGATATCAACAAAATATTTATTCATTCAACTTGTTTATGATCAGATCCAAACCAAAACAGTGTGTTTTTTAGGCATTTCGTCGTTGCCCGCAGAGTGTTTTTTTCTCTGGAGCTTGACGACTCCCTCGATTTCAGCTTCCTATAATCGCGCCTTCAGTGACGTAATGTCCGCAATGTATATTTCTATTAATTTAATTATACCTTTAATAATGGAGATATGTCAATCAACATGCTTGAAGCCAGCACGTGCCGGGGGTTCGCAGACTAACTGTCGCCAAATCCAGCGGTTTATCTTATGCCCCGCGCCAGTCAGGAGCCTTTCTTGAGGCCAAAGCAAACCTTACCTAAACGAAGTGGCGTTTGGATATGTCAAAGGATTAACGCACATACATCTCGCGTTTCGAAGCGCTTTTAAAATCGCTTCAAACAACCGTTAAATTCGCTCTCGTCTCGTTACACCCCTATCTGAGTGCGAACGAATACAAACATACAAAAACAGTGCCACGAGAAATTCCCTAGGGAGACGACCCGCTTCCAGCTGCAATTTTTGGTAAGGAGAAATCAGCTCATGATCATCGCGCGTCAATGATGCCATACAACAGGTATAACAGAGTAGACGTGAACATTTTATCTTATGGTTGCTTTGTTCTGTTCTATTAGATTTTTTCTGGTCATTCATCAAATCTCCAAACGCTGTCTTACCTTGGAAAGGGAAAGGAGAGAGACGTGAGGTTATCTTGAATCTCATTGAGAAAAACCAGAGGGTTCCAACGTGGGGAGTCCTTAGATCCCAGCACTTGTGATTGTGTTTATATTCGAGTCAACCGGCGCATGCGACGAACTACGCTCATTCGCTACGATGACTAGTCAGCGCAAACGGCCGAGAAATCCATCTCCATGCAGACAAGCTGCAAAGTGCCCAAAAATTAACAAAGGACAGCAGCGATGTGGACCTTTATCTCTTTTAAATTTAAGCGCAAAATGCGTGGCGGAAAGTATTCCTTTCCAACAAGTTGAGGAACGAAGCGCACCCATCCCTGAGCCGGTGCAGCTGAGGATAGTTTACTGGTCATTCCCGAGAAATGAAAGAGACATTTGTATGTATTCCTCTTTACACGCTACAATGTCACACAGTGACGCGAAAAGGCTGCCTTTCCAAAGAGGGTTAGCTCTTCTAGAAGGAAACGCTGTCAGGGATGTACTACAAGTCGGTAGGTGAATTTCTGTTTTGTACCCTTAATAACCGCAACTAATTCCCCTGACTGGGTCGTTGTCCGTCTATAGACCGTGGAGAAGAGAAATTAATTTCTTTCGCGAGTCATTAAAAGGCTTACAATTTTAAAAGGCATATAGTAAGTAAGAATATTATCGTTTTGAATATAAATCGACTCAGCGTTCGTGCTTAATTTTATGTGTTTTTTCGCCCAACTGGGCGATAGCGCCACTCTGTCTACCACAGTTTCTATAGAATACTAATGACCTACAGTATCTGTTTACCTCCAGCGCCACAAAAAATTCCGCCTCCAAATTGGTTTTTATTATAGTCACCTTTGATACAGAAACTTTGTAAGAATTATCGTCTTGAGGTTCTTTTAGAACTGCCGCGTGGTTTAATGAACAATTTAGAGGTTTTAAAGGAACAGGTAGACTGTACGTTGAAGACAAGGGCTTTAAGTTTTGTGAGACAAAAGTTTAGTCTCGATAAGTGAAGTTGAATATTTGTATACGTGCTAAAAAACTTTCGTTCAGTTGGTAAATACAGTGTAACAGTACATTAAAAAATGATATATTGTCAACCGCTTTGGCTTTCAAAGATTTCTTCTGTTTTTAAAAAGATTGTCGATTTCTCGCTAAAGTTTGCGTTTCCTTGATTCTTAATTAAACTTGTACTGGCTTGAAAGAAATATGACTGGGCTTTCTTAAGCTCCATATCTGTGGATTAAACCTAGCAACTTTTATTGTTTATAATTTACGAACGTGGTCGGCTCTTTCCCTTTAGTTTCAGCATTTTCTTTTTATTTTACTCAACAATAGCGCCTCGGAATTTTGTCTTGAAATCTGCAATTAAAGCCTGCTTGGAATCCGCAATGAGCTTTTAAGGCTGACAAACAAATTGTGATCGTCGAAGGGACCAGTTTTGACATTTCAGATGTTTGCTAGTTTTAGTTCCCTTTCTACCTCGGAACTTCCACTATCCCCTCAGGGACACTATTTCTGAATTCAATGTGCAAAAGATAATTACTGTATAAAAGTTGTGTCTTTCTATGTTTTCCCTCTCCTCTCTTGGAATAACATTGTTATAGCTACTGTTTTTGAATAGTGACATGAAATCATTTTGTGAAGTAGGCAGCTACGATTTTTTTGGCGGTTTTTGAAAGGGACGTGGTTCAGGTGCTGTTACTACCAAGACAAAATAAACTGCTTCATTTTGACCTGCCGACAAAAGGATTGTGATAAATTGAGCAATCAAATTATTCGATGGACGTTCTCTTAACTTTATTCTTTCTTTACCCAGGACGGGCTGCGCGGAAACTGTTCCGTGTAAAACTTCAGTAACCGGATTATACCGCATTGTGTTTCTCATAAATATTACCTTATTACCTGTTAGCTTTTTGTATCACTTTTACGTTTCTTTCTGTCTAGACCAGGAATAGAGCTCAAATCCTCTCGTTTTGTTTGATTGTAAAGAATTTCGTTTCATTTACAAACAATCTAGTCACAAATAGAGTCGCTCCCAGAAAGCGCTGTACTCAGGATACGCCCACGTAAAAATGTGAAGTGGAACTCGGCTTAATCCTTTTGCCGAAGGACGCGTCAGTGAGTAAGATATGTGTGACTAAAATAAGGTGGTGGCCTAAATTATTCCCTAAATAGTCAAAAATGTTGTCTGAAAACTTTTTTCCAACCCTGGCGCTACAAAAAGAAGGCCAGATGACTAGATTGTTTTGTTAGCTTTAGTTTCTTGCAAAATTTTAAATCGCTTTGAAAGACCGTTAAATGTTCTGTAGAAACAGTTGGTTCCTTGAAAGGCGCTCAGATGGCTGTGTCAAAAAGATTCCTCGTCTCGCTCAGCCCATAAGAAGCTTCACGCGTGATAATACAACACATGGAAAACACTACTCAATAGCTACGCTCTTATCACATTGAATTCAAGTTATGGCTTTTTTGGGGACCTACTAGATTGGACGATTGTTAAACCCACAAGCCTTGATGACACTTTAAGTTTTAAGTTCGGCGTTATTCCCACAGACTCAATTATTGGCGTTCTTCAAAAACACATCTACCTTTTGAATGAGTGGAAAAAATCTTAGGATGAGACCATCCAAATGAAACCAGCTTAGCGGCACATTCGTATAGTAACACTAGTTTTTTGGTCTTCAACAAATGATATTTTTCCTCAGTAGATTTTGCGACAGAGGCGAAAATTGCGGTGCGAAGATGGGTGATTAGAGACAAAGTGATAGCCACCTGTCGCCCCGCGGCTTTGTTAATGATGCGCCAAGTTTTGGGGAGAGGCTGCAAGAAATATGTTGCCAGATTAATTGCTGTGTCATTCGTCAACAGACTAATGGGCTAAAACGCCAAGGAAACTTCAAAACTAGACGAATAATAGTTGATTTGCATTTTTGCAAAAGAGGCTTAGCGTGAATAAAAAGCGCGGCAGAATGGGCTTAAATCATCGACTATTAAAAAGTTCCAAATCCTTTGACACATCTTAATGCATGTTTTTCTGCATAAAATTTCTTTCAGGTTTTCATCTTAGTGGCAAAGTAACAGAACAAGAGGATACCAAATATGGAACACAGCAAGAGGAATACAATGTTTCCGTTGGATTTGATAGGTGCAAAATTACCGAGGTTTCTTGCAGTTGTGGAAATAAGGACATTTTATGGTGTCCCCACGTCGTGGCGCTTTCGCTTTACAGAATTCGTAACCCGGACAAGGTGACTCTACGCGTTCCAATATCAGAAACGCTGCTTCAAATGAACCGCGAACAACTTCAGAAACTCTTGCAGTATCTTATCACGGAGCACCACACCGACGTTTTGCCGACTGCTCAGCGATTGGCGGATGAAATTTTGCTTAAGACTTCGGAGATTAACCGCTTGCACGGAGCCCCTGATCCTACTGCAGGCGCTAGCGCAGATGATGAAAGCTGTTGGCATTTAGATGCAGAACAAGTCAGACAACAAGTTCGGAATTACCTCTCCCAAGGTGGCTACAGCGGCAGCGGAAAACATCTTCTATCCATGTTCGCTAAGGTAAAGAATACTAGTAATGGTTAACCCATATGATTTCAAAACGAGTATTGAATTTGGAAATAAAAAAGACTATCGGAAATAAACAAGAAAATATGAATCACTGAGCCCGAATCATGGGATTCCCCTGCACATGACAAAAGCAACTCGGTTGTTTCCAGCCTGTTTCGCCTTTTGCGTGGATTTACCAACATTCAAACACCAAGCGACTGGCTATTTTAGGAAGATTACACTCTGTCCTCAGTGATAAAATGCAGTCTTCTTTGAAACTTAAATGTATTTTTACTTCTTTTGCAGGTTCGGGAAATGCTTCGCGTTCATGACAACAACGGATCTCGCATGCTTAGGCTCATAACTGAACAATTTCTAGCGGACCCAAGGCTCCAAATATGGAAAGAACAAGGTACCTCGATGAACGACAAATGCAGGCAGCTCTGGGACCAACTGGGAGCATTATGGGTTTGCGTAGTTTTGAACCCAGACAGTAGTCGTGCGGATAAGGCTGCGTGGAAAGCTCAGCTAAAAACCTGGAGCCAACAAGAAGTTTGCCCGTTGGAGAACCCGAACGTTCAAAACGCTGAAGAGAGTGACGAAATGTCAGACGAAACGTGCCCGCGCCGTACCGTGTTTTACAGAGCCGTGCAAGCGTGTGATTTGGACTGGGACAATAGCAATTTGAAAGCCATCATTGGGCGCGGTGAAAAGGAGAAAGTTAACAAGAATCTTACTTGGAAAGGTAAAGATATTATTTTCACCCTCAGGAGCGGCCAAAGTCGGACTATCAATAGAGAGCTTTAGATTCTGGCACGAGGAAGACTAGGAGTACGAGATTTTCTTAAGAGTGCGCGCAAGAGTGAACCAGCGTCATTTTTGGCGTGATAAGTGTTTTGACTAATAATATGACGGTTACTGTCGCTTTTACCAACGTGGAGAGGTTTTAAGTAAAGTGTTCACTACGTCCTACGTTTTTAGGTCAATTTAAACACTCCTGCCACTTCTCAGTCAATCCGATCTAGCTAAATATTTCCTGGTTGAGTAATCATCGGTATTCTTATTGAATGGTGTAGAGTATGGTGTCATTGGCCAGTTTGATTACTCTGGTATTAGGTCACTAAATGAAAGTGCTTTTTCGGGGCTTCTCTGATTTGAATGGTCAGAATCCATTTGTCAAGAGAGTAATGAAGTGTAAATTTTGTTTTAACAGAGGATGTGCCCATGGCCGCTGCTCGAGTAGATGCCTTGCGGGCTCATGGCTATCCCCAAGAAGCCTTACAATTGGCAGTTGCAGTAGCACGAGGTCTGAAAGAAGAGCAGTTGGAAAGAGTCCAAGAAATGGAAACCTTGATGGAAAGTTTCAGTGAAGAGGAAATAGAACATAAACATTGCGACGAAAGCTCGGAAATAGACGAGTTTATTGAGGGCTGGATCGGGCACCAGCTTGATCCCATTGTCGTGTTGTACGATACTCTTGTAGAGGAAGTGATCGGGCCACAAGAGAGCGATGACGGGCCGAAAGGCGACGCAGAAACTCTCCCCGAAGTGAGATCTAGCTCGGAAATTGATCTGTCGGAATACAGCACCGGAAAAGAAAATTATTTGACTTTAGCTCTTGAAGTCGCGCTTATGGGACTTGGGCAGCAGCGAACAATCCCCATGGGGTTCTATGCTCAAGACAAAGCCTGCCGGCAGGAAGAACACTTAATCGCACAGCTTAATCTTTTGAACTTTGACGACAAAATTCTTTACCCTGTACTCAAATCTCAAACTGAACTTCTCTTAAAGAGCGGGCCATTTAGTGGACTGGGACTCGGCGTGCATTCGAACAGCGTTCCCATGCACACCTTCGCGCGCTTCCTATTCAGCAAATTCGTACACAAGGACCTTGACCTCGCTTTCAAGCTTGGCCTTCGTGCCATGCGTTTCTTGGCTTTAAGTCATTTCTCAGGCGACACGGCGGATGAGGAAATACCCCTGGTGGGGCCTTCTAGAGTCACACGATTGTACACTTTAGGACATTTACAATCACAGCAATGTGAGCTGGCATCACGCCTTCTCAATGCTGCCAAAGATTCCGCTGACCGTCTCTCCTCGGTTCTTCAAGCAACTCAGCGGCATATACACTCAGCACCACAGCTATTCCGTCTCGCGCAGGACGCGTTCAAACTATCCAACGTTCAGTCGTCTGAGACACCTGACTTTGACATGCTTCATGTTGCTATGGAGCTTGGGCTCTTAGTGTTGCGCATGACATTAAACACGTCAAACTGGCGACGTCGAGAGATGGTGCAATGGCTGATAGAATGCGCCATCGAAGCTGGGACATCTGCTCTCAGTCAAATCATGAAGAACTGGAGCTCACTATTTACCCCAACAGAAGCGACGTCTATGGTGGCTACGACCGTCATGGCGCCCGCCACGGCGGCCCGCCTTCAGCTAACAGTTGTTGAGAAAGAAGCCCTTCTGTGTTGTGCACGAGCACTCGCCCTACAGTGCGCCAGTCGAGAACCTCAAAAGTGTTGTCTTTCCACACTGAGCCTCTGTGAGAAGAACCCTGCAGCCTTCGAGGCAGCCTACAGGCTCGTTGTAGAGTCTGCAGCTGTCATTCCGCCAACCCAACTCTTCGCTATTGCTCGTTACATGGATTACCGTGGCTACCCCCAAAGGGCGTTTAAACTTGCAACACTGGCCATGAAGCATTTCACCCTCGCTTACAATCAAGACAGTCATCCTTCCATTGGAGACATCCACTGGGCGTGCGCTCTGTCCCAGGCCTTGGGCTTTAATGAACTCATGCAGATCATTCCGCTGATCATCAAAGCAGTACATTGCCCGACAGTGCTGTCAGATCTACTCTTCAGGTGTACCTTTGTGAAAGCAACCACTGACGAGTCTCATAATAGTCAATTCTTTATGACGGACAACTGCGGGCTCAGATGTGATGAAGAACCGCTGAGGCAGCTTCTGGAGGCAACAATTAGCGCTTATGTGAACACAACGCATAGCAGGCTGAATCATATCAGTCCCAAGCATTACATGGATTTCGTGTCTTTCTTATCGAAAGCACATGAGACATTCCTGTTAGCCTCCGACGGCGGTAGTCGTTTCCGAGCGCTAATCAACAACATGAAAGTCTTGTACAAAGGAAAGAAAAAACTTATGCAGTTAGTGAAAGAGACATTTGGATAAAACTCTTTAGGAATCAATTTGAAATATGAAATAATTATTTATAAAAATGAACGTTCGCAATCGAACCAGAGATATATTAAAGATTATTACATTGTAAACAAGATAAGGCGATTACAAATTGTATATTTACTTGTGTGAATTTATTAACAAACCTAGGTTACGTCCGCGTTTCAATTCGCCTCTAAACTTGAAATTAGAAAATTCTTGCCTTGGAGCGCTGCTTAACGTTTTAGTTAATCAGTTTTTCTTTTCGAGTGGTTTAAATTAAAGACGCTTTTCAACGATGGAAATGTTGGCTTCGTTTTATGTGTTTGTCTTCACAACGAGAATTTTCAAATGCAGTGATCTACAAGGTCTCTAGCTCTTACACCCAACTCTATTGTTAATGTAGCCTTTACAGTCAAACCTTTCTAAGATGGACACCCTGCAGGCGTTATTTTTCGCACTTTTCAGGCAATCAAAAGGCAAGCTCATGTTTTTCGTGTCACGTTAAAGCGTATGTGTCTCGCGCTCCACGCCCTGCCTCGCGCTTGCCTTCGACTTTCTTGTATGCGGCGATGATGTTACACGAGACGATTTGCAACGACGATTTTTAGGGTAAAAATATTGGAACAATGTTATGCCACCTCGAAGAAATGTCGCATCAAAGCGACATTCCTCTGTTGCGCTGAAAATCGTCGTTGTCAATTTTCCCATATAACATCCCTTTTATTTCTTAACTTCACGCGGGAGGTGACCTCACCTTTGGAGCTTAACGATAACGACCTCGAGCAGCAATCGAGGCTAAAACCGTGGAATTGTTTGGGTTCCCCTAACATGATAAGGCAGGTGTTCAGCACGCCCATATGTAGTCTGCTACACAGCCGTTTTTAGTGTCGTCACGCAACGTTCCTCCCCACAAACGGCTGCTGAAAACCGAACTACATTCCTTTCCCTTTGTGTTTGTGGTCTAACGAACAAACCAATCATGTACAAGAAATTTGACAATACGTGAGCCGCAGGGCGCTAGGCAGCGAGCACGCTTCTCAGTTTTCGACAAATCAATCAATCGTCGCTGAATTTAGACGGGCTCTGTGTTTTCAAGCAACGAAAATGTTAATTTGCAAAAAAGTTTGTTTTAAGCGGTCAAGAAAGTTCCAAGTGAAAAGAAGGTTTGATAGGCCTAAAATTTTACCAGGATCATTTTCTTCATTTAACGTGCATATGTGCTGATATGTATGAAGAATTTTATCTAGGATGTGCTCATTGTGTTCTGTGAAGACTAAACTCTAGGATACTGAGTCAAAAAGCAATCTTATAAATTATCGATGAGCGATTTCCCGAAACTATACCTGGCAAAATTTATGAGCACATCCATGTTGTGAATCGGTTTTGGGTTGACAGGCTTCTTGCTGTTGCTGCTTATCTCCCAAATTTTGAATAGGACCCCCGACTACGACAACACTGTAGTTAATTGCTTGTTTTCACGCGACGGTTTTGATTATTCTGTCATTCACACATGGGGCAACGATAAAAGCAAAGCTGTGATTGGAGGAGTCACAGTACCGCAAAGGTGGCGCGAACACTTTCCAGAAAATGGGAACTGAATTATAATTGGCTAATCACGGGAAAGGAATGTAGTTCGGTTTTCAGCAGCCGTTAGTGGGGAGGAACGTTGCGTGACGACACTAAAAACGGCTGTGTAGCAGACTAGCCCATATGTAGAACACGAGCTCCTTCTTTTGAAGATAAAGAGAAGCCCTTGCAGTTTAGTCATTTCATTGACATTGAAAACGCAGTAGGACTATTCATATTGAACGAAAAAGGGACTGGGTGCTGGGGCTGAAGCCCCTGAAAGCCTTCCTTAACCCCTTGTCGCCTCGAACCTTGACTGTACACTTATGGGCCCAGTTGTTCGAAGGCAGACTAGCGCTTAACTCGGGTTTCTTTTCCTTATGTTCAAAAGCATTTTCTTGGATAGTTTTCTCTCTAATTTTAGAACTTCCAATCATCAACTTGTGGACAAAAAGAATTAAAACTAAGGGAAAGTTCATTTAATATGACAAGGGGGATGAAGATATTGAGGGGGGGCTACGAAAATTTTTAGACACCCGAAAAAATTGTTGGGAGGGGGGGAGAAAATTTGTATACTTCAAAACCAACACATGACATCATCATACAGATCGGATGGTTTTCAACTCAACAATTTAATGACCTGTGCAACTCAGCTATATCACGTGGTTTACAGATATAACAAATGTAGTCTCAGTAATTATTAGACTCTTGTTCATCCCAAAAATGCTTTAGAAAATTGTATCACAACTGTATCTCAAGTTTGTCATAGTATAAACCATTGAAGACAATAACGGTAAATATATTTAATACAGTCTAGCGATCTTTTTCAGGGGAGCAAAGGAATTGAGGAGGAGGGGGGGGCTCTGAAATTTTTGGACTACCAAGGAGGGGGCTCCTAAAAATTGAACCGCTAGCGAGGGGGCTGCTAAAAATTTCAAGCTTCGAGTTGCAATATCTTCATCCCCCCCCCCTTGTCATATTAAATGAACTTTCCTAAAATGCTTTTTAAGCTTTCAAATCTGAATTCAAATCTCGCACTAATCCTGGGTTATCTTAACCCAGCTTTGACCAACTCGGCCCTGAAGTGTTAAAAAATAAAAACCCAAAGTTATCCTCATTTTCTCTCATTGTGTATTCAATCTATAGTTTATGTCTTAAGCTCAATACATTTACCGGGACGTTCGAGAAACAGGCCCCTGGACCGAGATATTTGATTTCTCTTCAGCTAGTTATAGAGGCTCCTTGAAAACAGCTGTGTGAAATGGCGACTCTTTGTTTCAGACTACATGACAGGGTTCTTTTTGCCATGGATCGCGGGCGCACATGCACGTTTTCTGCCTGCTTTTTAGCTTTCTGTTGGCAGTTTTGTTGGGTTTTAGCTGTGGTTGCATTCTTTGTCGAACTTGTCTTTAAAAAATATTTATCTCGCAAAGAAGGTCTGAGTGTCTCTCTAAAATGGATGACACAGAGTTAACTTACAAGTTTTGGAGAATCCGAAAAACTGTAATGCAAGTAAGTGACATTCCTAACATTTAGTAAGTTTATCTAATTTCAACGTGCACCTACAATAGCACACGAACAAACATTGAAAAATAAACAGCAAGTTGCTTTTTGTGGCAAGAAGAAGAAACCCTGTGGCTGCGAGATTAGTCAATAACGACAAATTTTTATGTTGCTGACCGTTGAGTTCCAGATGTTGTAATTTAATTTAGTCCTTGGTTTTAATTTTATGTTCAGTTGCTTGTGAGTAACAAAGGAAAGGAAAATTTGAACCAAGAGGATTGCACTCACAACAAATGGAGAAAACTTGTCACTCAAATAGCAGTACTTCATCAGAAGGCCTTTGTTCCCTTTTTCATTGTCTCTAGATGTGTCATGACAGAGGGTATCTCGTTACACAAGATGAATTGGATCAAACACTTGATCAGTTTAAGGAGTCATTTGGTGACCGACCCAGGTAAAAATTTGATGGTTAGCAGCATGCAAAGAAAGTCGGATCCTATAGACATTAATTCCAGGCTTTCCTTACGTGCAGGGGCGGGTGCAAAGAAAAACAGAACAGACAGTTTACAGCCTTGCCATAATTTCACCCTTAAAAGCTAGCAAATGGTCCCAAATTACTTTCTGTATCCTTACAATGTCCTGTCTTGCATCTCTGAAAGATTTTGCCTCAATTTTGTTTATTACAAGTCTTGCTAGCCAGCTACGTGGCGGTGATTGTTTTATCGTCATTTTAGATCTGGCAACTTTTTGTTGTTTTCTTTATTTATTCTGGTAAACACTTGTATGCTTCAAAAATTTTATTTTATGTCTGTCTATAAATTCTAAAACAAACCCTTTTTACAAGATTAGCAGGAAAAAAAATTGTAACAAACTTGATTACAATCCTTCTGCATTTTCAATTTTTAAATGAGCATTAACCCCAAACAAAACTTTGCAAGATCTCTTGGCCATTGGTTTACGAGGAGGTCGATCGATTTTGGCAGAACAAAAAAATCACTAGCCCGAATTAATAAGAAACAGAATCAAAAAAAGTCCACCGTGCCCACTGGGCTATAGGACACAACTTTCTTTGCATGCTGGCCCAGTGTTAGTGGAAATTGCTATCAGGCTAGTGAATTCTGTTTTTAATGGCAAGTGAAGTTTTTGGGGAGTATTTAAAATTTAGAAGAACCATAAACAAACTTGCTTGTCAAAATAGTTTTTGGGGCTAGTTTAAATGACTAATGGGGTAGTAAATTCCAGCTACAGCTCGCCCAAAGGACAAGCTGTAAAACTAATTTTCTTTGCTCCTCGGTTTAGAAAATATAAAGGAGAGGAAGAGTTGGTCTCCAGAAGACCATTGCGAGTTTCAGTCTCCAACCAGACTAATTTTAAGGCTCAAATGATAAAACAACTAAGGATGAAATTAATTTCTATACACTACAATCAGCTAGATGGGCTTTCACTTTACTTGGCTGACGCTCGGTAGAAGTCTGGTATAGTACTGTCCTTGGCTAGTAATTCGTACTAAATAAATTAATAGGCAGCGGTTTTTAGTTGTGGGCTTAGTGTCATAGTCTTTGAGTGAAGGCGATGCTGAGGTTGACCTTCTTTTGATATAAACTTTGTTCCTTCTCTTATTGGAGATTATGTTTAAAAAAAATACCAGTTACTATAAGAACAACATGATTTATGTACATGTAGTAAAGCAGGAAGGGTTGTATTAAAACAAGGTCAGCTACAGCCTCATTTCCAGCTGTAACTGTAAAGTAGGCTATTGATATTGTTATATTTTAGTGAGGGAAGACCCTCTAGAAGTGATTTGTCAATACTGGTGGCGCACAATGATGACCCTACAGGTAACAATGTATTGTTATATACCAAGAATTATATACATTCGACTCCTGGTAACTCGAACCTCCCACTAACTGGAGGCAATTTTCATTTCCCTTCAGTTTTATTTCTATATATATTCTTACCCTCGATAACTTGAACTCCTAATAACCCAAACTTTTTTCTATTTCTCTTGAAGGTTCGAATTATCGGGAGTCAACTGTACCTGCCCTAGTTTCCTTTGAAGGGAGGGGGGCACTTAAGGGAGGTTTGGGTAGAGGTATGCTGCTGATGGCTTCACACCCTCAGTGTTATTACCAGGATTTTGTACACTGGGGTCCACAGGACCCACAGAGAAGCTAAAGGGGGATCGTGAGGGAGAAAAGCGAGTCACAATTTTTAGATACAGTAACTCAACATTTTCACAGGTCTGAGTCTTAGATAATGATGGGTGTTTTCTAAAGACGCCATAACCAATTAAATTTTGACTTATATTTTAAGGAAATGTACGTATGTATACATATGTTTTGTAATAGTTTTTTTCCTTGTTTGCGCCCTTGGGACCCCACAAGAAAATTATAGTGCAGCATTTCCCGAAAAAGTCCGTCAATGCTGCAGACTGGTAAGAACACTGCACCCTGACACTGTTTAAGGCAAATATTGTTTACTTAATTTCTCTACCCTATCTAAGACAAGAGGCCTTGTAATACATTTTATGACTATGACTCTTTTCATTTTGCATACAGATTAATTTAAACTAACATCATGGAATTTTTGTGGGAAAATGATATTGGTACCAGAAAGATTGAACACTGACCACCAACTTTCACATTATTCTAAAGGCTTCTAGCCCAAAAAGACACCCTGCTGTAAATAGTGAAATTGTATAGTACCCTGTTTAAGACACAAGATCCTGAAGATTGAACCCGTTCAGTGGCACCTACATGTATAGGCCAAATAAGGTAGTACCCCCCCAGGCCTAGTTTGTGTCTAGAGCAGGAAATTAGATGTCTGTTGAGTAGGAAACTTAATATCATGTTCTTTAGTTATGAGTGGTACCAAGCAAACTTGTGAATGAAAAGTGCAATTTGAAGTGTTTATAGTGAAAAATGTTGTTCATTACGTTAACGAAGTAATTTTCAATAAACTTTATTTTTTTTTGTTTAAAATGGGCTATTACTATGTATTATTTATTTAATTTTGAGCTGTTTCTTAAGGCTTGTGTATGGACATTTAACAATGACATGTTTCTGTTGATTTTTACATTGTGTTGTTATTTTGTTATGTTACAGATCAGATGTTTATCTTCTTTCCAGATGAACCAAAAGTTGGAATAAAAACAATTAAACAGTGAGTCATCCATAAGGTTAATTGTACATTTTAAATGCACATGCATGTCCAGGAGTTGAAATCACTTCAATGGAGAAAACAATATCCACTGAAGAATCAGGACAGTTACTTGAACTCTGCTGTGATCTGCATAACAAGTCTCTTGCTCTGACCATTTGGACACACTGTTTTCTTTAACCCTTTCACTGCCAGAGTGTTTGATAGAGTTTTGTAAGGTGACTCTAACTTTTGAGTCTGTGGACGAAATCCTATGATGTGACCATTCAAATGAAAGTTCCCTTCCTGTACTTACATATGGTGCTTTTTGTTTCTGAAAATTTTAGAAAATGAAATTTGGAAATTTGGTCGAGATTTGCCTTGGCCACCTTTGGCAGTGAAAGGGTTAAAGCCTCCATTTTTCCAACTTTGTTTTGAATTTACTCAGTCTTGCACATATTTTTCCTGACTCGCCCCAATTATCTTACTCTCAAATCTCTTCAGATATTGTAACAGAATGCAAGAGGAAAACATAACAAGAGCAATAATCGTTGTACAGATGGGTATGACACCATCTGCGAAACAGGTGAGTACACAGCTGGTAGGCAGTGAATTGAACTTCTAGGTTTATCTTTTGGTTCTATTTTCCTCTTGTAATGTTTCCTATGAAAGTAGCCAGGGGCCATGCTTGTGGTAGTGGGGGGACATCCCACCCTCCTCCCCACTCAGTGACACCCCTGGGGAGGGCACAGTCCCTTTGGTGACCTTTCCCATCAGATAGGTCTGTACCTACCCCTCCCCTAAGTCACAATTTTGCGTTAAGTGAGAATTAAGTGTTTATGTTGACTTCGGGGAGGGGTAGGTGGTCCTTTACTTAGAAACCTCAATTGATCCTTATTTTTTGCAGTATGGTCTACATGTAAAATTTTAGTCTTGTTTTTCAGTGGCAAATTTGTACATAATTTATCTTCAGGCATTAGTTGAACTTGCCCCAAAGTACATCTTGGAACAGTTTATGGAGGCTGAACTGATGGTCAACATTACAGAACATGAGGTAGGTGATTAATGCGTCTGGATAAGGGTTTAAGAGAGGGGGGAGGGCTTGAATTGGTTTTGTGGATTTATCTATTGGGTTTTTTTTCCCTAAGAAGGTTTGATTTTTTCCTTGTCTTGAATTGGTTTTGTTTCGGATTTAACAATTTGCTAAAAATACCATTCACACTTCACTTTCTTTACCCGCCTCTTTCACCCTGGTTGTCATGTTATCAAGCCTTGAGATGTTGGCGTACCTCCATATTCAATTATTGCTCTAGTTGGGCAGCCATTTTGATTATTTTAAACACTTCATGTAATATTGCATAAGTGTCCTATTTGGTGTGTGCCCAGGTGTGTGTTTTTCTCAATTGACAATTAATCAATTAAAATTAAAAGACATTATTACATGTAACATTCCAGTTGACCATAGTCCTAGAAAGCACAAAGACTTACCCTATTTACAACAACACTGTTAAACCCAGAAGGATAACATCTATACCTTATTTCACACCAGTAAATGTAAAAATTTACACTATTTGGCAGAGATCTCTCCTTGTATACTAACTTCCTTTGTTTTATCTCTTAAGCTTGTCCACGAACATGTTCTCATGACACCAGAGGAAAAAACAGAGCTTTTGCAGAGATAGTATCCTTTTGATCATCCCTTACTCAGTGCATTGAAATACAAATACATCATAAACATGTAATAATTATTGCTCGCTTGCAGCTACAGCCCCTTGCATTGGATTTTCAAGTTGCTGCACCGCTGTCTCTATCATTTTTTTCTCTCTCCCCCTAACTTTACCACTTTTCACACCTCCTCTCCCCTCCCCTTTCCCCGGTGGTATCATTCCTGTCCACACAAAACTCATCTCACTCATTATACCTAGGCTTGAAATAAAGGAAGGGCAATGGACAGTTTCCAGTTAAAAGTGAATGTTGGCTTTGTCCGGTCAAATCCTTGAATGATTGGACATTTTGCCCAGTATTGAGCTTGTAACTCAAGTCTTATTATTATTATTATTATTATTATTATTATTATTATATATATTATTATTATTATACTAAATTTGTACTTAATTTTCAATTTGAGAAGAGTTTAATAAAGTATTATTATTATTATTATTAAAAAAAATTATTATTATTATTATTATTATTATTATTATTATTATTATTATTATTATAACTTCTGATTTTAGATAAGGTTGGACGTTATTGGCCCCTCATGGAAAAAAGATAAGGGAAAAGAAAGATACAACCTCATCAAGAACTTTTATAAGTTACTGACTCATTATGGTGGTTTTCACTTTCAATTATCGCTCCAGTTAGGTGGTGTTTTATAATGGTAATTGAACTGAGTGGAGTGCAATTTGGTCTGAAATAAGAAATAATGCGATATAGAACAAAAATGGTGCGATTTAAAACAGAAATGATGCGATTTGGAACAGATGCGATTTAGAGCAAAAAATGGTGCGATTTAGGAATAAATCACACTGCTGAGAGCCAATCAGATTGCACGGATAGACAGTGATTTCAAAGTGGATGTAATAAAAAGAGATATGACATACATGAAGTAGATATTTGTGCTGCCAAACACGGGCAAAAAGAGGTTTGTCCAGACAACCTGACCGTCGCCAGCGGGAAAATTATTTACCCAATCATGATTAGGGTTTAAACAAAGGCCGCATGCATTTACTTCCAGTGGCTTTCAACTAGTCCTGGGATTACTCCCATTTGGTCCTTAACTTAAATCGCAGTAAACTCAAAGACCATCAGCTTCCTCGTATCCAATCTGGAGATCCGGTAGCGCGGTACTTTGGACTTAAAAGGGGACAGGTGAGTGAGCCTTGGCAAATCAAGAACCGTGTGTACTGTGACGTCATATACGCAAATAAGTCTGGTAGATGTAGCCCCTTTGTTGACTGGGTAAAGTGAGCATTAAAAATGGCGGGAAACTGCAAAGAGCGGTGAAAGTTTCAAACTAATCACACCATAGGAACGCAAAATAAAATTTCAAAGCTTCTTTTCGCCTACCTCTTAGAAACAGCTCTTTTCAGACCTGTACTTTTGAAAACAATACCTTTGAATTTACTTTTTTTTTCACAGGTTGTAAAAATTATTCGTCCCAGCGAAACAGCAGGCCGGTACATTACCTACAGACTTGTTGTTTGATGTGAAACGCGAAGAGACTAACACTCACTTTCATGGCATGTATTTATACCAGAACAGTTCTGTACATTTAAAAAATGTGTAATGTTCGATCGTAGGGAGATGAAAGTTTCTTTGAATAGTTCGCAGAAAGGCAAAGTGTGTGTTTATATCAAGCCATTCTTTTGATATTGTACATTCAAAGCAAAAGAGAGCCTGAACAGTTACATTTGGTAACAGACAGCCCGATAATTTTTAAATTCTTTTATCCAAATTCCCTTAAAATGTTTAAATTTACAATGGAATAAATAACTTCATTGACGTATCATCTTTTAACACGTGCGTGGACATGTATCTTAATTTGATTGTGTTTACTGTTATCTTTCGTTTGATTGGTTGTTCGTTTGGACCAAGAGTGACCAGCGATGAAAACGTTAGCCTTTTCACCCCTTTAGAGTTCCGAACCTTGGTGTTATTATGGGTGGGAAAGAACAAAATCTCTCAAGGATCGTGGTCACCATGGCCATCTACTATCACGTACATGTATCTAAAAAAGAGTATAGAGACTTATCCATTGGACAGGGCTGCACGTATACACCTTTTGAACACCTGGGACCTGGCTGCAGTTTTTCAAACGTTGGATAGCGCTATCCACTGAATAAATCACTATCCAGCGGATAACGCAATTGTGTCCCTGTAATACTTATCAGCTGGTGAGTGATTTATCCGGTGGATAGCGCTATCCAGCTTTTCAACAACTTGGACCTGAAGTTTAGCGCCCAAATATTAGTTAAGCATCGCGCTTGCGTTCTTCCATCATGCGAAGTAGAATAAAGGCCTTTTTCGAATCAAACATGATCTTACCGGTTTTTAAGGACCTTGGTGAGTGGTCTGACGTCGTTACCATGCGCTTAGCAGACCGACTCTCTACCAGCTCAGCCAGTCTTTCTTAATGCAACTTATAATGATGAAATTCTCTGATTGTAAGTTGACTGTCGGTTAATATAAAAAATGCCTGCGCCTCATATTCAAGTGTCGGCGAAACAGTACTAGAAAATGTTAGCATAGATAACGAGTGCGACTTCGACGACGCGTTTAATGATTGAGCACACTGGAAATCAATTCTGCTCAGCCGCACGTGCTCAAAAAACTCGTTCTCCCAAGTCGCACTGCGGCGAGTTTTCTTCGAAAAGTCGAAGTGGCGGGAGCGAGTTTGTTAAAGGAACGGGAGCTGCATTTTCCTAATTCAGTGTAAACAACTTACCGCGAAAGTGTCGAAGTGGTTTATTACAGGCGCCTAGTCCCACTGCAAATACGAGAACGAGTTGGACTCGTCAATGCTTACATTCTCTATCTCCTCAGATACGACTTCAGAAATGTAAGTCGGTGCGAGTCCTTGAATAACCTTAAATGTTAAAGGTAAAATCTAAATGTAATATGGCAAAGTATGCTTTCTCCGAGTACAAGGCGTGCAGCAGAGTTCTAAACTCTTTTGCAGTTTCTGAATCTAATACGCCGGCAACTCATATCTCTTCAAGTCGAGGATTACACGTGCATTTTTATTTTTACTTCCATGTTAACAACGGTGGGATTATTTGTATTAAAATCTGTGAACATTTTCTAAAAGCACTGTAAAAAATAACATCTCGTATACAAACGTCGGTAAATAGCAAATATGAAAATACAGCTGGTGATCGTCGAACACAAGGGCTTTGCCGCTTAACTATGGTGAGAGTATTTATTTTCCTAAAGGCAGGGTTTGAGCTAGGATTTGATCACTGGAGGACAATTTGTCCCCTTGGCTAACTTTTTGGGGGACATTTTCATTTTTAGGGGGACAGAAATTTGTACACCCGTCTGCTGATGCAAAGGGGTTTGTCTTCTTAGCAGGGCTTCTGATAGGTCTCGGAAGAAAAAGTGAAATTTCGCGGGATTTTTAGGGACAAATTCGCGGAAAAATCGGCCGATTGCGCGGGAGTTTTCGGGGCAAACCTCCACAAAAGCAATCGGTAAAAAACGGCCGATTTTGTGGTTATTTTCAAGGCAAATTTCGCTAGAAATCGATCGGTTTTGCGCTGATCAGACCAGCCTTTTTAACGTTTTTCTAACAGAGCTCATCATTTGCTCTTTCAACAACAATACGCTCCAGAAATGAACTAATGGCAAAGCCTGTTTGCATGTTTCAGTGACGAAGTTCCAAGATAAATTTGCAAGTTTACGGCAAGTAAATAGCCCCTATAGCTGAAATAAGTTTCAAATATGTTTTACAGACATGTATTTGATAAGATTTCTACCAAATTTCGCGACTCCGCGACCGCGCGAAGAATCAGAAGGCCTGTCTTAGATTTCCGACAAAAATAGCAGTAGAGTGTGACTGAAGCGTAACTTTGGAATGAACTTTAAAGGTGCGATAAAATATACTTTCCACGTTCGGTTTCAGCTTGCAATTTCTGTACTGAAATAAATCTCTTCGTGTGTGCTTCCTTTCGAGTTTTTTCCCTAAATTTTGAAGGGGACAAATTGTCCTCTTGGCCGTTTTTTAAAGGGACAATTCCAATTGCAGTGCGGGATTGGCGCAATGGCGCGGCCTAGCTCAAACCCTGCTAAAGGTATTTTTAAAATATTGTCTGCTTAAACACAAGTACTTGGCGCCTATAGGAAATCCATTTCGTTTAAACAAAGCATGACTATCCAGTCTAAGTGTCCATTGATGAGTAAGGAACAATCTTCGCAGTGAACTCTTCTCCTTTGCTGGATTGGGTTGTGCATCACGCACACAAGAGCTGGGTGGGGTCGTATTTTCATAAATCCATGCCTGCCATAAAATAATTTGAGGCCGGCTCTGGCTAGAAGGCAGGTTTGCCTGAGTCAAAATGATCCTTCATCAGAAAAGCAGCAAATCGGCCGAAAGTCATCACTGCGAAGGTGTCTTCCACACTCGTGGTGTATTAAAAAACTTGTACTGTATCTTCTCAGTGAATGCAGTTAATATATACAGAGTTTGTGTTCCCGGAGTCACGAACGAAACTATTAAAGGTGTCCTCCTACATTTTGGAGTCATAGGCAGCTGAATTAAAATGAGCCCCTGGGGTGGAGAGATCTTCAAGTGGCATAGGTGGCTTCTCGTAATCGGGGTGTGGTATAGCCCTCTTGTCATCAACTTCGTAACCATTGGATGTTGGGTGTTCTCCTCGGTGGTCTGGCTTGCCCAAATCGTACTCTTGATCCATGTGAAGTGCCATCTGAACGGCTGCAAACGGGTACAGGAGCATCACTGCGAAGAAATCCTCTGCTGCGTTGCCATAGATGTTGAACTTCTCTCGGATAGTATAACGGATAGATGTGCCGTAGGCGAAGAATGCAAAGAGCACTGTCCAAGCAACATAAGATATCCCACGTACAACAGGCTCCAGTGCCATTAGGATGATCCAGGAGTAAAAAGGAACGGCCAAAATCAACCAGAATACGCATCTTCTATCCTTTCTGCCACCAACCTTGTACGCAGCATTTCCCATGTAGTACCATGGTGCAAAGATAGCCAAAAGGACTTTGCCCACGGTTTCTTTTGTTGGACAGCTCACAACATCCAAAAGGCCCGTGGTAAACTGTGGTCCATGTGGATCAAGATCGCCTCCCTCCATCTTGACTGCTCGCCATAGTGCCACACACATCATGCACAGCAACATAGTGTAAGGAACCCCAGATGCTATTGACATGGACTGTAATGCTACAAGACCCTCTTCGCCTCCAGCATTAAGAAGAGCTGTGGCTGTTGCTCCTTCTGTCAGGGCCCAGAAAATACGCTGGATGACTGGAGGCTCGTGGTCTCCATTGGCTGATAGACAGTCGATGACGAGGGAACCACTGTCAGAACTGGTGACAAAGTAAAGAATGATGCTGATCAGCGAGATTATTTGCAGGAAGGTCCCAAGGTCGCCATACTGTTCCATAACGTCAAACCACATGTCGTTTTTCCCTCTGCAGGATAAACGGTACAGGCCATTGTATGACTTTGTGGAAGTTCCACCCCCCAGAACGGAGTTGCAGGTGATGTTGGCAAGGGCGGCATCTCGCTCCATCTTTAAGCCGGCACTTCCAAAAATGCAAAACCAAAAGAAGGCGTAAACTGTTGGCGCTGTCATGGTGCCGTGGATGAACTGTCGGATGGTTCTTCCCTTGGAAATCTTGGCAATGAACATGCCGACAAACGGAGACCAGGCTATCCACCATCCCCAGTAGAAGATTGTCCAGTCATTCATCCATCGCTGAGCCTGCTTCCCGTCTGGTGCATTTCCCAGTTGTGCGAATGCATCCGTGTGAAAACCAATCTGGATGATCCACTGAATGTAGTATCCGATGCTCTGCACATAAACATTCAATGCATGCCAGGTGTTATCAGCAAAGAGGCCAATCATCATGATGAACATGCCCAGGCCGAAGCAAATCTCGCTAAGTCGACGGATTCCAATCTTCAAGCCGCTCACCACTGATGCTGTGGCACACGCCGTCACGGCCCAAATGATGATGATCTGGTTGGTGACCGAGTATTCAATCGACGAATTTAGACGCTTGAAGCCACCATTCATTTGCATGACTCCAACACCAAGACTAGTGCATACGCCAAACATAGTGCACACCACAGAAAAGATATCTACAGCATCGCCCATCCATCCGTAGATCTTGTCACCAATCAGAGGGTAAAAGCAGGAGCGAACGGTCATGGGAAGGCCTTTTCTGAAGCCCACAAAGGCAAGAAGGAGGCCAACCACTACGTAGACAATCCATCCGTGAATTCCCCAGTGGAACAGTGTCAGGTTGATGGCATCCTGGGCACGCTGATTGTCGCTGTATCTAAATGTGCAGAAGAAAGGGAAGAAAAAAGATGATGATGCCTATTGTACGTTCTGTAAGTAAAATAATTGTTTTGCATTTATTTAGCTTGGGTCCGTACACTTTCTTCCCATGCATATTTTACAAATACTTTTAGCGAATGATTAGTGTATTTGTTTATTAGTTTTAATGATAATTTTGCATATTTTCTCATTTTCTTTTAATCTAGAGGACGCGTGGACCTCATAAGCCTTTGCCTTCTAGCCCAGGTAAAATGCAATTGTCGTCATGCTATTAAATGAAGTTCATTTTAATGTTCAACAAGCAGAGAGTATAGTTTGCTGGGCGACTGCGTCTGCTGTAAGAGAAGTATTTTTATTAATACTGGAAATAAGTCAGTACCAATTCTCAATGGCAATCAAAGTGCACGGTACTTCCACTTGTTTGGTACACACTGAATTGCTATAAATACAGAATGTTAATATTTACCTTCCCCAGTAACGATTTCCGTAATTGCCAGGCGCATAATGCCAAACCGGTTCAGCTGCAAAAAAGAAATGAAAATTTGGAGCTCGAGTGAACAATAAACAAGAGATTTTTCATTGACTTTTATAACCTGCATTGGTCCTTTAATGGGCGGGTGATGTTACGTAAGAGAACTGGGGCCTGTCGTATGTAATAAATAAGACCAAAACTAAGTTATTATGCAGTTGGTCACGTTTCATGTAAATTTCGTCCCATTTATTCGCGTGCTCGGGCAGATTCTCTAAAGAAAATCTCATGCATGACTTCCTTTGGGAAAACAAAATATAGAACAAAAGAAGTCTGTTGCCAGAAACAAATCTCTCTTTATTTTGCATTTCGTCCGTGCAATATTTCTTGCGTGATAAGGGTTAATTTGGATGTGCGAAATGTACATCGGTATGCTCACTGTTTTATTTGTAAGGTTACACGGTTATTTCGTCTTAAGTTCAACAGACACAAATGATAGAATCGTGTTGTAGAACATAATAAATAGCCTTTTACGCAGACGTTGACGATTATCTGCCTCTTGAACGTTTCTGGGACAGGAACGCTTGACAAAGCCCTAACAACGTCTGCGTGGGGGACTACATAATAAACCGTACTGCTGGAAAGAGGTTTCTTTTGAATGGTCACAAAGGAATTTGTGTTCTCTTAAAAGTTAATATTATTTGACTTCATAATGATTCTGTGTGTTAAAGGGTTTAACTAATACATTCAACTGCACTTTTAAAAATCCTTTACAACTCTTCTCTATCTTTAAAATTGCCTTGTATGCTTTGAATGTAAAGGTAAAGAGTCCTTATTTTACGTCGGTTGCTCGAAATAGTCATCTGACTAACAAACCTGAGGACAGTGGTGCGCTTATTTTAACCCTCCTTCTCCTCCCATCCCCCTACCCCCACCCCCTCCACCCCTCACCACCACCACCCTCTCCATCAGTGCTTCGTTTAACAGGTATTTAAAGGTACTTAAAGCTACACGGACAGGAAACAAGTCAAAAGAAGGATTTGTGTTCACACATATCAAACACGGGTCTCCCGCAAAGAAAGCCACGCAATTACCAACCGCGGGAATTTTTCTTCCGTGCTGTTTTTCGATGTTTTTTGGCCTTAAAGTGTAGTCATTCAACAACAAGAAAACGAAACGTCATTCAACAACAAGAAAAAACTAAAGTTCTTGTCAATTAAGGCTTGAACAATGGGGGCACAACGTCAATTTTCAAAAATATCTGTTCAACCGATTTTAGATCTTGAATTTTCGAAACATTTGTTGTAAAAACTTGCTTGCCTGTTCTTGTTTTCAACATCGAAAAAATTGTATAATTGCCCATTTTTAAAGATTTTACCGAATTTTCGTTTTTTTCGAAATTTTCAAAAGGTAAGTTTTGATCCCTATAATTTTCGAATCACTAGACTTTCAGCTCAACAGATGAAAACTTTTTAGGGGATAAAAATATGCCTATATCTACCGTTTAAATACTAAAATACGTTTAACAATGCTATGTTAAAGTGGTTTTGAACTATATTCTCGTTGGGTGCCCCTGACAATGAGGGTAAGGTCGGATCTCACGCTCCCATGGAAACCAATTGTCTCGTTGAAAGCGAACCATTTAACGCTAAGCATCTTGCTTTTCGTGACTTTTCTTTTTGAGCCCTTTTTACGATCGACCTGTTTTTATTAGCTATTATTGTTCTTGCTTTCTACGACCGAGAAAAGGCTATGACATCAAGCTATGCTCCAATGGCCAGGTTAATGCTATGGAATTATTTGTGGTAAACAAACACTAACCTGGTTATGCTTCATTTATCTAGAGCTTCTCTTATTTAATTTTTTCTGCTTTCGGTGTACTAGATACTGCCCCATAATGTCTTTGGGAAGTGAGAAATAAGTTCTTGCTGTTGCCAAAAACGTTTATCTGCTCTGACAAAGTCAACGTAACAAACTTTCTGTTGCGTAACCTCACTGATATTTTACATCGCTGATGAAGTTAGCGATTCGACCGAAGTATTCGATTTTGTTTTAAATTGTTGCTCTGAGTTCTGAAATGTGTACACTAAAAGTTCTTGCTGTATCCTTGGTTTGCAATCAAGTTACAAGGCGGCCTTGTTGGTTGACAAAACACAATACTTTTTTTACCACAGGATTTGCATGAGAAAGGAGTCTAGTTCCCAGCGGTGGGAAACACTTTTGTAACATGTCCGCCGTTACGTCAGTAAAGTCAGCATTGGCATATGCAATTAGAGTAAACCCCATTGTTATGTCGGCAGCAGTGTGATATTTAATTGCTCACAAATGTGCAAATATTTGCGCGAGAGGAAATATTTTAACGATTAAATTTAGAACGAGTGAAATTATTGCCGAATGACTCTTCGTGTCATCGAGAGAGGTCGAGAGATTGCTTTATTTACTCCTGTGGTATTTTCGGCTAAAATCAATTAATGCCTTCGTACGCCCTTTTTACCATTTCGAAGTGGACTATGCACTTTTACTGCTAGCTCTTTCGAGAATAATAATTTTGTTTGGAATGTCATCTACAGTTCGACTTAAACCACTTAATATCTGCCTTTGTACCAGTTTACAACAAAAGCCCGAAAGAAGGCAAACAGTTAAATAGAGCAGTTTATTTGACGAAATTTACTGCGTCAATAAATGCACTACCGGGCAGATGTTATTGATTAATTTTTCATGTACTGCTCAATATCACCATGTTTTGTTCTTCAAGCAACAATACACACATTATGTGCCTATCAATTTTACAATTTTTTGGAAAGTGAAAAGGTCAAGTTTGAAAGGGAAAATGGAGTGATGTCAATTTCTTTTCTGAAGTCAGGTGTTGCAATGTTTTGATTGTTTTTCCCTTTTCCTTTTTTTGCGAGCAAACACTTTAAAGCGCCTGGAGCAAGTTTTCCTTGAGTTGAGAAAACAAAGAAAACTTAGTCATGTATAGTGGAACCTCTTGCTTGACAAAGTCTTCGATATAACGAACTATGTTTTTAACGAAACGCAACATGATATCGAGGTTCCATATCGAGGTTCCACTGTCTGCAAGGCTTAAAAACACCAATTACAATTTTTCTGTGCAATGCTCGCTCTGTGAATTCTACGTCTCTTCTTCTTATGAACCTTTTTGCTCTTCCTTTTGAGAAGTTAAGTACGCGTTTACAACTGTAAGGGTGCCTGCAGAGGCAGGATTAGGTGTGTAGGCATTACGCCGCCGTGCTCGTACGATTAGCAACACTGAACAACAACTTTATTGCCTTTATCTTCGACATGAAGATTTCAGTACCAAAACAATGACAAATGAAAAAAAAGTAAAATAAAAGTTAAGAAAGAAAGGAACAATTGAATATTATCATAAAAAGAAACATTACTTGGCTATGTACGGCTTCTACGCTACTCGTATGGTAAGAAAGTTTAATTAGAGATCGGATGCATAAAAATTTAGAATATTTTCAATATAAGAGGAACTGAGATTTATGATGTTTTCATCGCACATGGACATGGTATATAAAAATAGTGCCTTGCAAGACATATTCGTAAAATTACTGTTTATCGAGTATAGGCCCTCCAAGAAGATACCCCTTATATGAGAAAGTGATGAGTGGGTACATTTCAACAAATAGTAAATTAGCAGAGGTGATTAACCCACAATCTTATGATGTTAGAAAACCCCGCACTCAAAGATGCTCACCTACTCCGAAGTAGAACAAACCAATCCCGACTCCAGCAGCAAAAAGCATTGTGAAGTATGATAGGTCATTGAATTCTGGCTTGTCGTCAGGTTTTCCAAGTTTCATATTTCCATACTTGGAAAAGTACAGGACAATGATGAAAACTGCCCAGACATCTTGGGTACCAATGTACATCCATGTGAAAACCTCTGTGATCCACAGCATCCAACTGCCCATCTCTTTGTTGGCTACATCGGCTTGCACTGCGCACCAGATAACGAAACCCCAGATGATGCCGGCGGAGATGATCGTTACCACTGGGTTGAAGCGCAGGAATATCCCGATGTCTGTGTTCCCAATTTTCCCCCATTTCCAGTTGACTCTAAACCAGCGACACCTCTCCGTTGCGTTTTCGTCGACCTCCATTTTCTCTCACCGCAAACAAGAGAAGCTAAATGAGCCGAGTTAAGATCCTGTAGAGGTTTAAATAAGGTATGCAAAACAAGAAGAATGCTTAGTGAATCAGTGAAGCATGCATTCTTAAATTAATATCAATTATTGAAGCCCATGTCACCCATCGACAAAAGCAGTCTTGGCATTTCGTCTTTCTTTCTAGTTTTCTTACAACTCTTCATCTACCCAGTAAAAATACCAGCAAGGTTTGTCTCTCCTGCATTTCTTTTGGCGTTTTAAAGCTCACGAAAGCGGTTTTTTCAAATCAAAGTTAAAAACGCAAACCACAAATCAGAAAATAAACAACGGAGCTGTAAATATCACTCTATTTAATTTACCACGGACTAAAGACTAGACGAAAGGTACTTCTAACTTTTGAGTCTGTGGACGAAATCCTTTAGTGTGACCATTGAAACAAAAAACTCCTGCGTAGCAGTACTGGTACATGGTGCCTTTTAATTTTTATAAATATTGCAAATGAAATTTTGGATCTTTCTGGAATTTTGAGGTTTTTTTAGTTGATTAGTAGCCTTGTAACTGAAAAACCCTTTTAGGGGGTTGCCATAAAGTATGTATATATGTATGTAATTTTTATTTTGGACCTATTATTAGGGGTGAAAGGGTCTTGGTACGTTGAAAAAGCCATACGTCACCTACGTATACAAGAACGCAGCATGTCAAAACGGTCAATTACTGTCGGTGTAACGCCTCCAGCGTAATTATCAGCTATGAACAGTTCGTTTCTGCGGATTCATTTCGCATTTCGTTCAACTCGTTATTTATCTACATTACAGAAGATAACGTCTGGCACAGGTTTTAACTTAACAGTTGGAATTGTCTATCTCTGCCAGCGTGTAGTCGACTGGGGTGGATTAGCTTAAAGGGCTTCTTTGCAAATGCGAGCATGACATATGTGCAGCCAGAATTCAGGCTGATTAAGAACTGGGGGCACAGGAGTGTGCCTCCAACTGTATAACCAGAAAAGTATGTAAAGAGAACTAGAGACGGATTCAGTTTAAAAGATGTAGTGGAACTGGTTTGTTAAAAATACTTCAAAGAAAACAGGAGCGTCAGTTTTTATTAACAATAGAACAAAAATAAAGAGGCCGAATTCTAAAGAGAGTTAAATCTCTTGTGTGTACAATCAACTAAGCTTTCAGCTAATCTCAGCACGTTCGTCTTACATACATTATCGAATTTAAAAGTGCATCGTTACAGCCCCTACCCTAGAAGTCCAACTATATTGATTGCGGAGGGGTTATTGGTCTAGAATAGGGTATCATTTTCCAAGGAGCTGATCAACTGGTTGACGATTTTTGAAAGACACCGTTAATTGACACTCAAAATAATAAACTCGGGAAATTTAAATGTACCCGCAATTCAGTTTCATAGCAAGAAAACGTCTATACAAGACTATCATTGAGATCACTCCTGCATGATTTTGTTAATTTTGACTCCAGGATAGCGAGGGTTTTTGGGAGTTTAGTCTAGTATAGGATAGCAAATCAACTTCAGCTGAACTAGATGTGGTATAGGCTAAGGATTCCGAAGTCCCAGCGGCCTATCGTCGCCCAAAATTCGTAAAGAAACTCCCGGTATTGAATCCGGCTTCGCCTCTATTTGGTTAGCTGCAATAAACGTTTGCCTCATATCATTGGTGTTAACCCATAAACCACTACAAGAGTGATCGGCATCAAATTTCTCTTGTAATATCAATGCTTCGTAACGGACGGACCATTAGGAAACTTATGGGGGGGGGGGCGGGCGAAGTACAAAAAAAAAAAAATATTCGAGCAAGGGAAAATTAAATGAAAAAAAATTCATGCACGCCAATTAACCCTAAAAAATATTGATGCTACAGCCTAAAAAAAGTTCATACAAGGAATTTGATAACGAAAAAAAATTCCTGCGGCTCAAGGATTCCCCACTCCCACCATAACTTTTCTAATGGTCCATCCCTAATACAGATAAGTGGCAAGAATTAGGAAGATGATCACCTTAGATGTATCAGCAAGGAAACTTATAAGGGAAGAAAATAAGAATTTTGATATTGGGGCTTAAGGGTTTGATGCATCAATCAATCAACTTTATTGAGATGTTGAAAATAAAAATACACGCAATGCATGAAAAGCCGCCGGTGGTTATCATGCTTTGCGAGGCGGGTCGAGAAAAGAAGTAGAAAGAAATACAAAGTAATCTTCATAGAACTCGTAGATGTTTTCTAGGTTTTTTATATTGTCCTCAATCTCATAGCCTCCCATTCATACGGCCTTAGTTCTCCGGCACACGTTCCTGGTGCAGCAACGCGTGATGGAAGCCCAAAGAACGTCTGCGTAGGAGGATTAAATGTCCAATCACAAACGGAAAAATATTTTCAGTGAATTATATTCAGTTAAAAAAACAGATTTGATCAACCCTAACCAACTGTTGGCTCTGTTTTTTCAGTCCGGAGCCAATGAACACTGTTTATTGAGGCAACTTCAGTAAACACTCATAATTCTGCCTTAATCTTAATTGCGGCGTCAACACTTTCAGTACGTGGAAAGTGATGCGCTGCGCGTAATAGTTTACAAACTAATGCGTCCGGTCACTAGAGTAAACGTTTTAATACTTGTGATATGTTTAGCCGTAGTGGTGACTTATTTTAGACATAACTTTTAATTTAATTGATTCAGTGTACTCATCAAGTTATATATGTAAATCCATTTTTTTCTCATGGGCACACTTGAATTGAAATCTCTCTTTGTTGTGTGGCCCTCGCCATTGTTTTCGTTTGGTTGGTGAAAGTATTGTAAGTTAATTAATTAATTAAACTAAAGCCAAAATAGCCGATGGTGACGACGCGGAGAGTACCCATTACTGACGCAAAATGGTTTTTTTTTAATCGCTTCTTTGCTGAAGCGACTCAGCTAGAAAAACTTCTGGAGCGGGGCACGATTTACCGTTTTCGTTCAACTTTGATCTTTTTCTTTGGATTGCTTTTTAACCAATCAGATCGAAAGTTTTCAACTTTAATCACATCGCCAGCGCTGTGGGTCAGGCACGTGAAAAATGACATGACGAAATTGCTTCTTGATCAAAGTCTGTCTAGTCCAAAATATGCATTAATTTATTTTAGCCGTGCTTATGATTGGCTCAGCCCTAAAAAAAGAAATAACGCTCTGGTAGTACAGTGTTTTTGCTTAGGACTTGACTGAAACTGGAAGCGGCGCCATAGAAATCTCCTACACCCAGTGTAGCTGGCATGTTAGTAGGAATCAGGTTTTGGCATCACTGCTTCTGCGCGAAAACTGCTTGCGTGCGCGTTTTAGAAAGTCTCGAAGTAATCGTTCCCGGTCTATCGCGTCTAATTTAAAAGCGGAGTGTTCTACTCGAGTCCTAATACCAAATCAACCGTTTTCATTTCTTAATTGATGGCAAGTCCACTTTCCACGTTTTTACATGTTATCCTGCGCTGTGACCGTGGAGCGCAAAAGTTTTTGTAAACAGACTGGCCGCGGGGCAAGTGTATTGCAAAACCATCATTGGTAATTTTTTTGGTTCTAGAGACGCCTACACAGTCAATGCCATTTTATTTTATTTGAACCCGAGAGTTCAAGCTTTATATCAAACAGTCTCTTTCGCAGTAGCCTGTGTATCAGGCCTTACTAAGGGGCGAAGGGAGAGGGGATTTTAGATGGGGGAGATGTCTATGTCGACGTCACGCACTGTTGGGAGGAGGGCTGCGTTATGACAACACAAAGAATCCGCGAAGGAGACTATGTATCAAAAGACTCTGGCCGCGATGAAAGTAAGGGAATCGTTTCTCATATACATGGGGTTTTATTCAAAGTTTTAACTTGAAACATCAATAGCAGAATCGTCAGCGACCTAACTTCCTCTTTCTCAGCTGATTCTCGGTAACATTTGAAGCGTGATTTCTGCGTATACCTTTTGAAATAACTGTTAAATGAACTCTTCACATCAACAATGCAAAGTCGGAGCGTAAATGCTTGCAAGAACACTAAGCTCTATTTGTCAAACTCTTGATTAACCTGCATAAATGTCATGTGGTATAAAAAAAACTTGTATCCTAAACAAATTTCGATTATAAAATTAACCCAGCCAGTAAATAAGTTCTGGATACCAAAATTAACTACAATCCCTAAATCTTTTAGCTTAAATGATTTCAGTTTTCTTCCAGTACGAATCTCCTGACGTGGTGATATCACCATCCGCTCCAGGGTTTAAATGACCGCCACGCGAAGAGAGATCGTGCATGGATATTGTTGGCGTTCCATATCCATTTTCCGGTAGGTGCCTTTTGCCGTCCACAGCATAGTGGTGATTCACTGGCGGCTCTGCGTGGTAGTTGCGTTTGGCTAAATCGTAGTCGTGTTCCATGTGGTGTTCCATCTGGAAGGCTGCAAACGGGTACAAGAGCATCACTGCGAAGAAATCCTCCGCTGCGTTGCCATAGATGTTGTACTTTAGGCGCATGCTATACCGGATGGATGTTCCGTAGGCGAAAAATATGAAAAGCACAGTCCAAGCAACATAGGATATGGCATCTACCACGGGTTCCAGTGTCATCAGAATGATCCATAGGTAAAAGGGAAATGCTGATATCAGCCAGTATACCCATCGACTATTCTTCATACCACCAAGTTTGTAGGCAGCATTTCCCATTGAGTACCATGGTGCAATAACGGCCAAGAGGACTTTCCCGACCATACTTTTATTTGGGCTGCTTAAGACATCTAAAAGACCGGTAGTGAACTGTGGGCCATGTGGATCAAGGTCACCTGCTTCCATCTTCACTGCTCGCCACAACGCCACACACATCATGCACAACAATATGGTGTAGGGAACTCCGGAAGCAATTGACATAGACTGTAGTGCTACAAGTCCCTCTTCGCCCCCAGCATTTAGAAGAGCCGTTGCTGTAGCGCCCTCTGTCAGTGCCCAGAAGACTCGCTGCGAGACAGGAGGTTCTGGGTCGCCATTGGCTGACAGACAGTCGATGACGAGGGAACCACTATCAGAACTGGTGACGAAATAAAGAATGATACTGATGAGTGAGATCACTTGTAGGAATCTCCCAAGGTCGCCGTACTGCTCCATGACATCAAACCACATGTCGTTCTTCCCTCTGCAGGATAAACGGTACAGGCCATTGTATGACTTTGTCGAAGTTGCCCCTCCCAGAATGGACTCGCAGGTGATGTTGGCAACGGCAGCATCTCGCTCCATTTTCAAGCCGGCACTTCCAAAAATACAAAACCACAGGAATGCGTAAACTATGGGTGCTGTCATTGTGCCGTGGATGAACTGTCGGATGGTTCTTCCCTTAGAGATCTTGGCAATGAACATGCCGACAAACGGAGACCAGGCTATCCACCATCCCCAGTAGAAGATTGTCCAGTCATTCATCCATCGCTGAGCCTGCTTCCCGTCTGGTGCATTTCCCAATTGTGCGAATGCATCCGTGTGAAAACCAATCTGGATGATCCACTGAATGTAGTATCCGATGCTCTGCACATAAACATTCAATGCATGCCAGGTGTTATCAGCAAAAATGCCAATCATCATGATGAACATGCCCAGGCTGAAACAGATCTCGCTAAGTCGGCGGATTCCAATCTTCAAGCCGCTCACCACTGAAGCTGTGGCACACGCCGTCACGGCCCAAATGATGATGATCTGGTTTTTGACCGAGTAATCAATCGACGGATTTAGACGCTTGAAGCCACCATTCATTTGCATGACTCCAACACCAAGACTGGTGCATACGCCAAACATAGTACACACCACAGAAAAGATATCTACAGCATCGCCCATCCATCCGTAGATCTTGTCACCGATCAGAGGGTAAAAGCAGGAGCGAACGGTCATGGGAAGGCCTTTTCTATAACCTACAAAGGCAAGAAGGAGGCCAACCACTACGTAGACAATCCATCCGTGAATTCCCCAGTGGAACAGTGTCACGTTGATGGCATCCTGGGCTCGCTGATTGTCGGAGTATCTGAAATTTAAACGCAAAGAGAGAAAAAAACGAATTTCTAGAGTTGGTAGTGGACTCAGAAGGGTTGTTTGTGGAGAAAACGTTTCAAAAAGTGTTCAAAATGTCCCTCATCAGAATAAAAATACACAAACTGCAGTAGTTGGTTTGATGCTTAGAGATTTATTGATGGGCCCGAGGCGTGTGGCGTATAATCTTGAGATTATCTTTAGTGAAGAGTGAACTTTAATAGCTTCAAAACATCACGAAAAATGGCCGAAAAATCTTTCCAAAAATTCGATTCAATTTTTTCTAGAAATCCCTTGAAGGAGTGGGTGACTTGTGGTGACAATTTTGCCATTTTGACTGATTGACAGAGATGTAAGGAATGCTTGATTCACCAAGAGCTTACATCAACACTTTGCAGACAAAGGCTCCAGGATCGCTTGTGATGAAACTTTTCGAAGCTAAGGGTTTTTGTATCAAAGAAACATAAAATCTTAAAAATGTTCCAAATTTCAGTCTTTTTATTACAAATAAACATAAAAACGTGGAAAGTATTCACCAGAATCCCAAAAAATCTCTTGAAATTTGTAGAAAACCTGTCCCGAAGCTCAAATAAAACTGAAATAAAGTCCGGATTTTTGAAACTAAGTCTAATCATGTAAGAGTAGAGTATCGTCTATTCTCAATGGTGCGTACTACATGCAGAATGTTAATATTTACCTATCCAAGTAGCGATTCCCGTTTTTGCCAGGTTCATAGTGCCATATCGGTTCAGCTGAAAAGAGAGAGAGTCAGGGTTAGAAGGATAACTAGAGAGAAATACTGAAGCGCTCTCTGGGAAGTCGCTTTGATCATTGGCCTGTCAGAGGGAAATGTTTGCGAAAAATATATTCAATGGATTAGGTCAGAAACTTTCCTGCACATCCGTGACAGTATGAAGCTTTTCTCTGTCTCGTTCCTCGGCCTATTTAAAGGGGTTATGTCTTTAGGATATTGCTGGTTTAGGTCAATTCCGTGCTTTAGTCAGTACTAAGTACCTTAAACGGAAACCTTGCACAAAATGCGCTTGTAGCGTTAAGAAGATTTTATATATCATGTATCAAACAAAGGGTACCAGCCATGGTAATGTTTTTGAGTTTTGCAACAATCCATGTCCATCCTTGCCATCTGTAGCATCGAAATGTGGTCTTGCATAGCAAAACTGCACCGTTATTTTTGGAATTCAATCGGTGCGAAGACACGTTTTCGCTTTTACAAAGGTAGCCTGGCAATAGTGTGTCATAGCCTTGCCTTTAAAGCTGAATAAATATATCGCATCATTTTAGTTGTGCAGTTAATCAGGATCGAGAGCCAGAAGAAACAACGGAGACATTGTTCTTGTGTATTTTTAGTTCTTCTGCCCGTTTTTTTTTTTTTTTCTTACTGGATTTTATTCTATTTTTTGTAACAAAGGTTGGCCCTATAGAACTTATTTAGTTGATTTTTCCAAATGCGCTATGGAACTTTTAGCGAAGAAATTACTTGCAAAATGACAAAATCACAGCTTGTCCAACTGATATACCTCTCAAGCGTTATATGAAACGTTACAATCTACAAAAACCCACAATTGTAATCCGTTCCGTGCCTTCCTTTGTATGTGCCTTGTTATTTATACCTTATTGTAATGTTTTGAGTGGGCTATTTTTGTGTTTCAACTCAATTTGGTAGCAGTTCCTACTGTTTGAAACTTGATAAATTTCATTGCACAGCTCCTTTAAATTCATTTCATTGATGATGCTTAAGTGTTAGAAAGGTATAACTATAAAATTACTTTAGCCCACTTCTACAAGCACCCTTCCCCTTTAAAATCGCACTTCATTGTTCTACAGCCTCTCACGCTAAAGATCGGTTTATTTTTCAGCAATCACGCTGTCTTTTCATTCCTTTTATGTTATTTTTATAAATCAGTCTGCAAGACTATGGTTGACTGAACCGCCCTTAATTATTGATAAGTTGCCAAACTGGTTGAACACTCTGAGAGCTTGTGGCCTAGTTTAACCTGTAAAATTTCCTGAACTTGAAGATGTGCTTTGACTTTGTAACTTAATTTCCTTCTCTGCGACTACTAAAATGAATTGCTTCCTTTTGGTAGTGTATAGTTAAAGTGAACTCGTTCGTATGCACGAATTAGGATATTCTGTGTAACGGCCTAAAAGTATGCAAATATTTGGACACCATGAAATTAACTGCCGACTTCTACACACTCGATTAAACAGTGATATTGTTGGTTAGCCACGGAATGCTAAACAGCTACTAACTTTTATGAACTGTCGACAGTTCTTTATATTTTTTTAGCCAACCTTAACAGCACATTATAGTACTAAATCTTTCCAATGACTTCTTTTTTCTCTATGTCATGTACAATGTTCTCCCAAATTTCTTTAGCTCTGTTATATCTTTCTTTAGATCTTATTTTGTTTGTGTAAAATACAGTCATTCGCATCAGTTTTGTTTTGCTGCGTCATTGCCAACAAAACATGTTGATATTGGGCGAAGTTTGTCGATCGTTGGTCCATTTGCCTGCGGGGCCACGAGGAGTTTGCAGCATCCGGAGGTCTATAAACTTACACAGAGTTACAGAGTTATACAATGTTTCTGATTAAATATTTGTATACCTTTCTGGCTTTTGCGTTACAATTTCAAATCTGAAGCTTAACTGAAATAAAGTAAGTTCCTTCACAAGATTTTTATGCCAGTGGTTCTAGGTGAGGTTTGTCACAGCCCTTTGTAAATGACCTGCGGCAGAAATTTATACTGAGCGAGTGAGTACGCACTCTGCTTGTGATGAAGAAAAAGTCTTAATGCCATCGTGTTCAGCTGTGTTCGTAGTTAAATATTAATCGCATGTTTGTGAGAGAAAACCGCTGTCAAAATGACTCACCTACTCCGAAGTAGAAGAGACCAATACCGACTCCGGCGGCGAAAAGCATGGTAAAGTACGTCAGATCATTGAACTCCGGTTTGTCGTCAGGTTTTCCAAGTTTCATCTTTCCATACTTGGAAAAGTACAGCACAACGATAAAAACTGCCCAGACATCTTGGGTACCAATGTACATCCACGTGAAAACCTCTGTAATCCACAGCATCCAACTGCCCATCTCTTTGTTGGCTACATCGGCTTGCACTGCGCACCAGATAACGAAACCCCAGATGATGCCGGCGGAGATAAACGTTACCACTGGGTTGAAGCGCAGGAATATACCGACGTCTGTGTTCCCAATTTTCCCCCATTTCCAGTTGACTCTAAGCCAGCGACACCTCTCCGTTGCGTTTTCGTCTACCTCCATTTTACAGCTACAGCTTTACTCTTTGAAACTAAGTTGTAGCCTTCACGCTTTTGCTATAAGTATGCAAAGTATGTTTCACGGATCAATGAAGAGCGTATTTACAATCGTTATTATGCAACTCTCTAAGCCAATCTCGCCGTTGTAGGTGGCTCTTGAACAAAAGGAGGTTTTGACACTACTTCTTAATTGTTCGGTACCGATAACGTTCCTCCAACTAGCTTCACTTATGTAACCGCTAGTCACGAAGCATAAAAATAAAAATAAGACTTTTACCGCAGCAGTTAAGAGTCATGTAACAACGCACTGTTTAACCATCTCTTGGAGTCAAATACTATCGAAGTGGCTTGATGACAGACACCCCGACAAGGTCTTCTGATCATTAAATCGCCACTGGCTTCAAACTTACCTCTTAACAATACATTTTGGGCTACTAGACCTGAAACAAAAATGGCGGCTCATCAACAAAAACGTCTAGGCTCACTGTCTTGTTGAATTAAATATATATATTTATTATTATTATTACTGTTCAAAACTGAGACATTTCTCCTTTTCCATTTTGTTGAGGAGCTGTACTGCTGCACGCTTTTCATGATACGTCACTATACCAACGCATGCGTGCCTGCACACAACCTTGAGATACCATGATATATACAACAAATGATCCTGAAGTAAATTCTCGGTATAAATAACTTGATACTATTTAATGTACGAGCACCTGTCATATTATGGGGATGAATGTAATTGCAGCATAAGAGATGGGCTGTTAATTGAAATTTGTTAATGTTTCCAAGATTAAAAACCACAAATATTTCCAATAGGTAGCCTGCGAGGAGGGAGAGAAGGGAAGACCGGAAATACGTTTTCGGTTGCAGGCTATCAAGAGGCCAATGGAACGGCTTTACGCGCGTATGCAATTGAACGCACACTTAATATATCGCCCTTGATCGATCAAACGGGCAGGGGAGTGATTTTGTGTATAAACTGCCAAGTGGATTTATTTTCTGTAAGATTGGAGCAGGAATTGTTTCCTTCCCGTTACCACATACTTTCAAAACTGGGTGGATTTCCACTACCTTGTTTTTGTCAACGCACGTTAACGTATGCTGTAAAATGAACTTTAAGTTACGTGAGTGGACCTGTACGTTGACTTAAAAATGTTATCCAGTTTCCACTGCCTTGTTTACGTTTTTTTGTTGTTTAATATTTCCACGGGCGTAAACGAAATTTACGCACGTTTTTTGTCTATAGTTATCAAAAGTGTTTTCGGAAAAGTTCTGAAAGTTGAACGGGTTTCGACTGTCTTTTTCACGACCACCTTTCGTGAACGTAATGTCTGAACACTTCTATTTCGACTCGGAGTTTTCTTTCCGGGGTTTGCGGGTCCATACACGTTGAACCCCATTTGTTTTTGCAATGTTTTTCCTCTTCGATGTTGTCAACGGATATAGAATATATACAGGATGTAAAGAACTTAGCGAACGCTCTCGTAAAAACCCAAACCGCTTTGTATCACTAATTTTGTTGGTTCATGGCTGCGTCAGCGTATAAGGACCAATAGAAGGCGAGGTCTAGGCCCCGGAAGGCGTTGTATTCAAGTTGAGAGGTACAGCATCATCCGGTTTCTCTGAGAATGACGTAAATTTACGAGAAAGTAAATAAGACAACAGTTTTGAGGGTAGAAAGGCTTACTTTCAAAGGAAACTTGCTACAAGTCACGTTTTACTCGCATATTGCTCCGAAGATAACCAGGATGGCCGAGTGGTTAAGGCGTTGGACTTAAGATCCAATGGACGTGTTGTCCGCGTGGGTTCGAACCCCACTCCTGGTACTATTTGTGAATATTATTCTTTTTTAGCAATGGCCGGGAAATCCTATGATAGAGCTTCGAGATCACCAAAGGAGGCTCGGATGAACAAAACTGAAGATAATAAAGACTGGTTGCAATTAGATTTTGAAAACTGTCCGGCCTACGCGACAGTATTTCAAAGCTAAATTTCTGTTTATTTTAATTTTGAAGAGATGATTGCCTTGGTGTTGGAAATTTCCACCGTACCCCTGTTATAGTGAACAGTTAACAATAATTGGCTCATAAATTAGCGACATACCGTATTTAACAAAATCAATTAAAGCAACGGTTCTTTAACAGGATTTCAATAATGTATTCCATCAAACTGATTGCAACTAAATTTGATCTCTGTCCGGCCTAGGCGACAGTTTATTTGTTGCAAAACTCATCTCTGTTTAACGGATTTTTGAAGACGATTTTTTGGTGCTGGATAAGCCACCGTACGTTAAGAACAATAATTGGTCGCGCTATTAGAGTGATTTTACTTAACCCATGAAACAGTTGTCTCACAATTTCGACTGAGTTAGGACACAGTTAGACTGTAAAACAGTCCGTATTTTTGCGTATTCAAGTACGCGCGAGCCAAACAAAAAAGTTGGAACAATAATTGGTCGGGCGTGTGATTTTACTTACGCCACGCGTTACCGATTTTTTTACTGATTTTGAGGAAAAACCGACTGTTTTGCAGTCTAGGACACAGTGCGAGCCATGCGAAAGAAAAATACAGAAAAATTAAAAAAAGCAGTAATACGAAAAAAGATAACCGAAAGCTAACCGTTGTAGAGGAGTGTTTAACCCTAAAAAGCGCTTAACCCTAATCCGTAAAAAAGTGTTTAACCCTAAACAGCGCTTAGGCTAATTCGTAACTGGCGAGTGCTTAACCCTAGTCAGTAAAAATGAGTGCTTAACCCTAATCAATGAAAGTCAACCAAGACTGCGTAATTCTGCAAATATTCTAGCAGCAATTGAACCTTACATACCCACGGAAAACTAAGCAGGAAACATTTTTAATGCATTTAGATGAAACTCTATTTTTTCCTATGGCTCGCATGCCTCGAAGATTGTGCGGACCAAAAAAATTTCTGCAGTGTCATATAGCTACGAATAATAAACAAATTGGAGTGATATACAGCGTATAAGTCTACTTTTCTATTTCAATGGTTCAGTAAAATCACTCTATTATGTCACAAATAAACTTGAACCATGAGTGGCGCGCATTAACCGACATCGTAATTACCAGCGTTTTCCTGTTTTGATGAACGCTTACTTAGCTGAGGACGTTTTGCTCGCAAACTCCTTGCTCTCGTTATAGAGAAAATGTGAGAATTACACCCATAGATCTAAAACTGAATGATTGTAAATCACGAGTTGAAAGCAGTTTCTCCTCGTTATCCACCGTCAATCCGCCCTGTGATTTTGGGCTTTGACGCAAATAAGGCTCGGCGGTCAATCGGTTGAAAAAAAAACCTTTGCTTTACAACCTGTCATCTAAAAATGAATTACTTACTCTTACAGAGGCCAAAGGAAACTGTATTGCCTGTGGGACAGCAAAAGCATATCGTAAAATTCCGAAAATAAGCTCCCCATGTATATAGGCCCCCCAAACTCGTAACGCAAGAAAACCTCCGTTCCCTCTCGTTCCTGCAAATGTAAGCCCCCTCCCCGGGGGGGGGGAGGGGGGGGGCTTGTATTTGGAAATTGCCCTCAAATACAAAGTAAAACAAAGCAAAAACGGTAGATTTCGTTCCAACTAAAGGGCTACCCGAATCGATTTTGAAACGCAGATTTCCCTCCATGGATAAGCCCCTCAAAAAGGGCCGTTGAAAAATGTAAGTGCCGAGGCTTACTTTTGGAATTTTACGGTAACTTTTGTTTCATCGCCCGAGTTCAGGATGTAGTCAATATATACCGCTGTAAAGAGTGGTTGAAAAGCGACCGTTTCGAGCGCTTGTCCTCACGTCTGAGGAATTTTTGTGTCTTACAGACACGATTTAGGGAGTGATCTTAGAAAAACAAATTCAGAGCCTTTAACGTGTAACTGATCAGGGTGCGGATCCGTTTGCGGCATATTAAATCATATAGCCGTATGATTTACCGTCGTAATTTTTCAAACAAATACAACAACAAATTTCAGTGGAAAATGTGACGGACATATACGTTTGTTGGAAAGAATCCACGCAAAATTTGAGGCCAGGTTCATGAAAGAAGAAGATGCAACGAAAGGGTCAGGCACAGTCTTGAGAATTCATGAATTATTGTAGAACAGCAACTGAGCATCAACATTCAATCGAACGTTAAGTGAAGCGTGTCTTTTGCTCATTTACTGTTAGTAAAGGCACAAGGAAACATCGTTCTTGCTTAAAGATGCCGCGACCGTAGTGTCATCTTCAATTCGGCAAACTGTGACTCGCCTTTCACTTGTCTAATATGTTAACCAAGAGACTCAGAGTCAGATTTCGACCATGTTATTTTCTTTCCTCTTCATTTACAAGCTTTTTGAATAAGACCAAACCGCCGCAGGCTGATGACCTTTCTTTTTGCGGAGAGGAGTGTGAGGGTTGCCATCACACTTAACTTAGCCCTGTTTCAAACGTTGTGCTGCTGCAGTGCAAAGCTGGCTCGGCTGTAGCTCTACTGCAGCACGACATTAGCACGACTTGGTTTCAGACGTCGAATTTAATTCAGTCGAATAGAACGGCTGTTGCCCAAAACAAAAGACAAAAATAAAGAAACGGTTTAGCAAACTTTTAAATATATTCAATGTATTTATAATTTATGAATTGAGTTCGCCACGGCGGTAGGACGACGTTTGAAACCAAATCGAGCTACTGCCATGCTACACGGCAGTAGCACGACTTGGTTTCAAACGTCGCGCTACCGCCGTGCTAAAGTCGAATTCAGTTCGATCAATTGAGTACGGTACGGCAGTAGCACGACGTTTGACACGGACCTCCAAAAGGGGCTTGATAGCTCCGCCAATAAGAAACACGTCGTGGGGTTCGCGTTTCCAAACATTTTTTTTGCAAGAAATTTGAAGAACGTTTTGTTTTCGTCTTTGGAATAAAATGCCAAACTATTTTAATGGTAATGAAGCTTTCACTCTCGCTGTGTTCAACACGCTTTGAACTTTTCAGCAATTTGCTCACGCCAGTGTTTA